GGAAGTTTAAATGTTAATCTGATAACAAAATGCACAAAAATAAAAAAAAAATGTCTGAATAAAGGAGTCCGGAAATACGAAGGAAGCCACAAGAAAATAGGAAAAAAGCATAAGAAAAGGAAGAAAAAAGAGTAAGACACACAGATAAAGAAAGAGCAAGAGGGAGAGAGTGGGGGGCTTCAGTCGCTTAGGAATGGTAAATCTGTTTTATTTTTTCCTTCATTTGTATGAATCTCTTAAAGTTAGACGCTGTCGGAATTTCTTGGTAGAAAATGAGGATAGCGAACTACTTTTAATATTTCTACGAATTCTCTGTAGCTAATAGTCATTTTAATTAAGTTATCTATTCTGTTAATTTTCTTTCTGGAGTCGCTTACATCATCAAAATAGAAATAAAAATATGTTCCTATTACTTACTCATGTCTCCATTTCGCTTGATTCATGATTTATTTCGTTGCTAATTTTTTTTTTTCTCGTTGTTTCGTTTCTATTGCACAGTCTATTTGTCCGAGTTATTTTTTTCAGATTTTTTTCTTCACATTGTATCGGTTCATTTCTTGTTTCCTTATCTGCTATTTTTGAAAATATTTGTTCTATATATTTACTTCATATTATTTTCTATTTCATAGACATTTTTTGTACTTTCATCTTGATACTCCGATGCATTATTTCAATTGGTCGATTTTATATCTCAGTCTATTCATATATATATATATATATATATATATATATATATATATATAGTGATATACTAATCGAAGCTTAAGCTAAGAGGTGGCACAAGGCAGAAAGTATGGACTACCCACTGAGTATCGAACTCAGTACTTAGTCATTATTTGATCTTGCGAAATAAACTTGCTATCCTTTATACCACATCGAAGTGCCCAAATGATTTTCTAAGTGGAGGTTAGATGTGGCACAAGGCCGAAAGTGTGGAGCACATAGTGAGGATCGAACTCATTACACAATCGTAATTGATCTAGATATAGTCAGACAAGCTTGCTAACCATTACACCACGTCGAAGTATCCTATCTCTCTCTCATTCTCTTCTCTATATATATATATATATATATATATATATATATATATATATTATATATATCTATATATATATATATATATATATATATATATATATATATATATATATATATATATATATATATATATATATATATATATATATATATATATATATAATCAGTAATCACCTATGCATAGCAGTAAAGCCACTAAAACACAAGAGGTTAGAGGATGTGGAAGAATTTAGGAACAGAAACATTAACAGCTGGAAGAGGAAAGAGAGATCAGGAGGAAGGTAGATCGCGATTGACATTGTATTTAAAATTTTTGCAGATTAATATTGGCTAGAAACATAGAACCGAAAAGGAGTTTCACAAGGGAGAAGTGCGAAAAAAGAAACCGTTAGCATAGAACTTACGCCTATATCTAACCAGCTCAACTGTAAAATGATGAGGCCTCGGCGCGAGTCTAGTACTGCGTTTAAATTCAGAAAGTCTAGGTACCATAGAAAGAAAGCTCATCCGAACAATTACCAAGAAAGTATTTAGAAAAAAGACACAGAGGGGCAACTTTACGACAATAGAAAAGTGACTAAAACCGAGCCATCTGATCAGGACCAATATTGCTGATTCTTCTTTGGATCATATCAAGAAGCTCAACGCAAATAGTAGGGTCACCAGACCATATGTGGCAGCAATATTCTAAGCATGGACGAATAATAGATTTATAGATATGTAAGATAGATTCCAGAGAGAAAAATTGTCTTGCACGACACAGTGAACCGACGTTTTTAGTAGCTGACTTAGCAATGGATTCAATAGTCTTTCACTTCATATCAACTGAAAACGTTAGCCCGAGAAAACGCAATGCGTCACTTTCCTGGAGGTTAGCATCAGCCATGATGATGAAAGGCAGAGAAATTTAGTTTTGGAGGGGTTAAAAAAAAGCCATCTTTTGCCCCAGTTAACTATAGACTTGATGTCGTTTTGAACATCGGCTGCCATTTTGACCTTGTCGAACTGATCAGCCTTAATATCGAGACAGAAGCAAATGGTTGTGTCATCAACGTAGATACCAAGTTGAGAGTTGATATCATCGGGAAGGTCATTAAAGAAAATTAAAAATAGGACCATGGATGGAGCTCTGGGGGTGGGGACACCCACGTTATTACGAAAGCATCTAGACGAGTGGCCGTTCAGGATAAGTTCTATTTCACGATGTGATAGGAAAGACTGGATCTGTTCAAAAAATTGTCCGGAGACACCGTAAAGTTTCAGCTTGTGATGAAGACCTGTATGCTAGATCCTGTTAAAGGCCTTCTAGATGTCCTGTGCTACAGTCCAGATTTCACTGTTTTTATCTAGAGCATGAAAGACTCTTTTCGCAATTATCGTCAGTACATCAGCAGTTGACCAGTAGAAACGAAAGCCATATTGCTTATATGAGAAGAGGCCCTGCGATGGAAGATGATGAACCAATTCAGCATTGATTAGGACCTCTAGGAGTTTCTTAAAAAGAAGTAGAAGATCGGTGGATCGGTCGGACGGCTCAACAAAGTTCTTAAAAACTGGAACGACAGCTAATGACTTCCAGCAGGCAGCGAGGTATTTATTACATAGTTTAGAGAAAACATGAGCTAGTTCGGAAGCACACTTCTTAAAGACTATTACAGGATTACCATCGGGTCTACATGCTTTATGGGAGTCTAGGTTAGAGATAATAGCAAAAACCATGGAAGGGGTTATATGCATATCACTGAACAGACTCAGTTCTAAGTGGGAAATTAGGCAGGGATAATCGAAATGAGTCAAGAGTAGAGCTTGAGAAGAATTTAAGGGAAAGGAATTCAGAGTCATCAGAATAGAGACGTTACACTTATTTAATACCCTATTACAGAACCGCCAGTAATCGCGAGAGCCAAAGTTGCTGCCTCATTCTCTCAGATTGAGATTTCACCTGGTATTTCCAAGAAGGGATGAAAGCGTTCATGCTAGCTATGACTCAAGAAGAAACCTCAGTGGCGTAATCTTCAATTAGGGGGGGGGAGGTTAAAGATATCAGTCCAAAGGGCGTCATTAAGAAAATAACGGGGTGAGTCTCAGTCAGAAAGCTAGCAACGGAAAAAAGGTCTTATGAATAGGGGGGTGATCTTTAATAGATGATTGGATTGAAATATCAATAGCTACCACAGAGTGGTCCAAATTACCACGAGGGGAGTGTTGCGAAGCTCAGCAAGATATATAGTCTATTCATATCTATCTCCAATCTCTTCATACTTTATCTATCATAGATTATCATTTATGTCCATTCTCTTCATACATTATCTATCTATCTATCTATCTATCTATCTATCTATCTATCTATCTATCTATTCAAATCTCTTCATACTCTATCTATCTATCTATCTATCTATCTATCTATCTATCTATCTATCTATGTCCAATCTCTTCATGGCTTTATCTATCTATCTATCTATCTCCAATCTCTTCATGATCTATCTATCTATCTATCTATCTATCTATCTATCTATCTATCTATCTATCTATCTATCTATCTATGTCCAATCTCTTCGTCCTTTATCTATCTATCTATCTATCTATCTATCTATCTATCTATCTATCTATGTCCAATCTCTTCATGCTTTATCTATCTATCTATCTATCTATCTATCTATCTATCTATCTATCTATCTATCTATGTCCAATCTCTTCATGGCTTTATCTATCTATCTATCTATCTATATATCTATCTATCTATCTATCTATCTATCTATCTATCTATCTATCTCCAATCTCTTCATGATCTATCTATCTATCTATCTATCTATCTATGTCCAATCTCTTCGTGCTTTATCTATCTATCTATCTATCTATCTATCTATCTATCTATCTATCTATCTCTTCATACTTTATCTATCTATCGATCTATCTATCACATTCTCCTCATATCTCTGGACATCCTAGTTTTTTCCCTTTTAGTCAGTCAATTTCTGTATTTGCTTTTTAGAAAATTCTTTTTTTTTTCTAGCGTTCCACATTGTTAGCCAAGTGAAATCACGTGTTTCTCTCTTGTCGAAAAATTGCTAAAGGTTTCATAATCTAGTTACGAAGATTAGAATATTGACAAATATTTCAATTAAGCCTCTGTGTATTTTCCTGGAAATGCTTTCTTGCAGTTGAAGATGCAAATAGTAGAGAAAATTATTGGGAAGATAAAACACTTTAACAAAATGTGAGGAAAATAATGATATTTCATAAAGTTCTCAAGAGTAAAGTGAAATAAAAAAAGAGGGGAAACAGTTACAAACCTAGTAAGTTGGTGGTTTTAAATAAAGACTGAAGGAGAGAAAGGAGAAATTTCTATTGATTTGTTTTTATAGCTTATCAAACTTTTGCAGGATTTACGGCCACATCAGATTGAAACAGCGGTTCTCGTGTGATCACTGAAGATAAGCAACGCGCGTGCGGTGTAAAGGAGAATGGCTCGGAATTGTTAATCGGAGAGCCGAGTTCCAATTCCAATTGTATTCGTTATATTCACTTACACGCAAATACCCTTGAGAAAGGCATGAATCCACCTATTCTTCCCCCAGCTATGGGTTAATTACTAAGACTTGTATCATTAAAACCATTATTATCTAAAAAAAAAAAAAACAAATTCTTAGAAACTAAAATATTTCCTGGCTGGAAAGGGTTGATACATCGTAGAAAACGTATAGATCAATCAAAACAATTTGTATTTTTTTTAAGTCAGAAAATATTTTTAGTTTCTAAAAATCTTTTGTAGATGATAATCATTTTTATTGATACAAGTTCTACTAATTACCATTACCGTAGTTGTGGGGAGAACAAGTGGATTCCTATCTTTCCCAAGAATATTTGCGCGTAAGTGAACAAAGCAAACCCCATTGGAACTCCTCGACTCTTTGATTTCCAATTCCGAGCCATTAACCGTTACACCAAACGAATTTTGACTTGACAGCAACTGATATTCCTAAGCGGTCACTCATCCATGTACTGGATAGGCTCACGTGTTGCTTAACTTCGGTGATTGTACGAAAACTGGTGTTTCAACGTAACATGACCGTAAGTCCGAAGGAGGGAAAGTGAAAAATAGAATAAAAAGGAAGTGAAGAAATGGAAAGATTTTAAAGAAAGAAAGAAAGAAAGAAAGAAAGAAAGAAAGAATGAAAGAAAGAAAGAAAGAAAGAAAGAAAGAAAGAAAGAAAGAAGAATTAAATATAATTTTAGGTAAAAACCTAGACAACAATAGAAAAAAGAAAACAAAAGAAAATTAGGAAGAAGGCAATTACGAAAACGAAATCAAAGAGAAATCCGGAATAAAAGAAAGAATGGTTTCTAAAAGGAAAAGTTGGTAAGAAAAGCAAAGAAAAATTCGTGAAAGAAAGAAAATTTGAATGAAGATAAACGGAAACAAAGACAAACGGAAATTTAAACAAAAACATACACAAATATACAACAGAAAATAAATTATGAGGAAAGATATGAAAGAATCCACAGAGGCAATCACACAAACCATGCATACAAGGGAAAAACCGAAAATGTAAAACAAAAAGTAGATAAAGAAGGAAATCTTTTGCTAAAAGCTACAAAGCAGATTGGAATTGTGTTTGTCTTTAGCCGATTGAAGAAAAACCGTGCCGTCAGTCACATGAAGCCTGTGTGCTTGAGTATTTCTTTATTCAATCAATGGCTGACCGGGCAGAAGATGGCTGCTGCTGGCGAACATGGCTGCTGCTGGAGAATATGGCTTGGGGTTATAGTTTTGTTTTGAAGATGGCGAAATCTCATTAGTTATCTGAACAGCAACTGAAGGATATTTTGGTATGCTAAACCAAACAGGTGAAAAAATAGTGGAAACAAAGGAAAAGAAATAAGAGACTTGAAAAAATCGAAAAATATAGAACAAAGTTTAAAAGCCTATTAAAAGAAAACAGAAAAATACAGAAGCAAGAAATGTATTTTAATATTCTGTAGAAATGTGAGGTGTACTTTGGTCGATAGGCCATGAACTGTAAAGCTAGAATATCGTGTTCAATATATATATATATATATATATATATATATATATGTATGTGTGTGTGTGTGTGTGTGTGTGTGTGTGTGTGTGTGTGTGTGTGTGTGTGTGTGTACTTTTGTACTTTCAAATTTGCTATATTTGCGAGAGGACTGTTAAATATAGGGGGGAGAGTGCTAGAGTGTTTGTAGATATGAACATTGTAGACATAAAAATTAACTCTGCATATAGACAAGCAGTTTCACTGCGTAAGTGATTATCAAGCCATTCTAATGATCACTTCTTCTTCTTTATGTGCTGTATCCCCTCAGGACGTAAGCGATCGTGGCTCTCCACATCTTCCTGTCCTTTGTAGCTCTTAATAAACATTTTCTTTCTGTAATTTCTCCTAAACCCTGTTAAAGTTTGCTAAGTATGTTATGCGTTATTTTCCTCTTCCCGCTATCTGTCCCGTGAGTATCAGATTTTCCAAGCCCTCTTTCCTCATTATGTGCCGCAGAAATCTCAACTGTCTCGTCCTGATGTTAATCATTAGTCTCCTTTTTATTTCCATTTTTTCCAAAACTTCGTTGTTGCTCAGATGTTCGTTTCATGGTATTCTCAGCATCCTTCTGTAGAACCACATTTCTATTGCTTCAAGTCTTCTCTTCATCTTTGAGAAGATTGTCCTGCACTCCCTGCCATACAGGAGGACAGATATTACATAGCAGTTTAGTACTCTTTTCCTTGTTTCTAGCGAAATTTCCTTATTTCTTAGTACTCTGCTTAGCTTTTGGAAGGCATCTTTTTCTATCCCAATGTGCCATCGAATTTCAGTGTCGCTTTCTCTGTCCTCTGTTATGACAGATATTTAAATTTTCGCACTTGTTTGATTTTGGTATCTCCGATTTGCAATTCGCACTCGGGGGCTCATCATTTTGCTAACAACCATGCAGTCTATTTGCAGTTGGTGCTTAATTCTTTCTTCTCACTCTCCTTCACTACTTCCTGCAAACGTTTTTGTAGCTTCCTTTCTGTGTCTGCTATCAACACTGTGTAATCTGCATATCTTATTTATACCTTAAAGCCATTAATGAAACCTGATATGACCAAGTTCTCTCAGAATCACCTCACTGTATAGATTGAATAAGTCCATCCTTTATCTTATATCCATTATTTTTTTTTGTATATCTGCTGAACTCATTTTTTTTATCTATATGCATGTAGTTTGCTGCGAGTATAGGTTCATGATTATCCTAATATATCTAAAAAAATATCTGTTTCAACAGATCTCTGTGGCGTAATCCCTCGAACTCATTTGCATAATCTATAAATCACAGGTACACGTCCTTCTGCATTTGTATTGCTCTTTCTGGTAGCATTCTGACCATAAATATCGTGTTCCTTTTTCCAGTGTCTTTGACGAAACCACACTGTTCTTGTCCTATTTCTGGTCTGATTCAGTTATACGTTCTATTCGTCACGATTCGGATGATCAGTTTCGTTATATGGCTCATTAAACTGTTTGTTCGAGGGAGTTCGCATTCGTTTGTCCCTGGCTTATTAGGCAGTGCTATGAAAATAGATCTACTTAGGTCTTCCGTTATATTCCCACTATTGCAGATTTCTTTTATTATTTCTGTGATCTTGTCTCTGCCCAAATTATCTAAGGCTACCAGCATCTCTATCACAATTTCGTCTGGCCCTGCCGCTTTGTTTCTGTTCAATTTTAGCAGTGCTGCTACCACTTCAGATTGTAATATTTCCGGCCCGTCGATGTTTCTGTGTGTTTCCGATTTTCTCTTTCATCGTGGAAGAGTTCTCCTATATGTTCATTCCATCACTGGAGGATTTTTTCTTTCTCTAATTTTAACATTCCGTCCTGCTAATGTAATTGTCGCTCTTTTTCTCCTGCTCACCATATATATATATATATATATATATATATATATATATATATATATATATATAGTGATATTATTATACTATTGGAATTAAGATACCATTAGTTAATGACCATTTTCGCTTACGAATTTTTGCTCTGTTTAATAAACATTGACCACTCTTTCTGAGTCAGTTTTAACATTTAATATTTGATATTTCAAATTCTATATTATGTTAATAGGACTCACATCTGTATATTCTTTGTAGATGTAAGCAATATTTATAGAATTATATATATATAGACACTGTGTGTGTTTGTGATTATGTGTGTTGCTTGGTTGATTGATTTTGTTTAGCGACATATCACCCTCTATGTGTTATTTAATGCCGAAGTCTAAATATTTTGAACACAATTTTATAGCTTCAACTACAGATAAAATACATTGTTGTTTATTTTGTTATAAAATTTATTGTTGGTCATTTTACTGTAAATAGCTATTAGTGGCAATTTGACTATAAGTAGGGATTGTTAGCAATTCTTTTTCTATGAAAGTATTGTTCAAATGTTAGTTGAATGTAAACTTTAAGACAATCTTTTTTACATTTACTTTTTATTTAACGCAATATAAGCGCCGTTAATTTTTGAAAAACATTCTAAGTAGAACTCGAATTGAACAGATATGAATTTACCTATTTCAAAATGGAAATTTTCTTGTTGGTTGATGCCTACTGACAAACCTTGTTGAATATCCACTTATAACAGCATATAAAAGCATTCTTGTAGACATTTTGAATAGGGAAGACATACGGAGTGACACAAATGTTGAAACACGTGACGCGGTTAAAAGGGACGATGGTTGCAACTTGTCTCTACTAGCATATGAATAAACTGTTGAGGTCGTGGCACACTTACTTGTTAGATAAAAGTTTGATTTCTAATATTAAAATCCCTCCATTGCATTCATTTTTTAGTCTTTGTGTGTACGTGTTTATTTTATTATATTTTATTTTTATATGTGTGTTGGGCTGGGTGCGTACATGTCACATTTAGTTGGTTGATTTTTTGACGACATAATGTTATTTAATGGCGAATTTTGTATGGGACAACCAGCGAGAACTGCACTCCTATTCAGTGGTAATGGACAGCCAGACAATCCTTGCTAGCTATAATCACACACAGAGAGACCTTAGATTTTGGTCATCTCATATCGTAATGTCTGCAGATTGATTGTCGTCGGCTGTTGTGTTGTGTCTGAATTTTTTGAGCCTGAAATCCACTTACCAGAGATAATCTTTTCTTTTTGTTTCATGATATGCTTGTAGTTTTAAAATAACATTCATTTAATAATGACTGGTTCAATAATGTGTTTAGGTGTTCTGCTAATAAATTTAGGTATGTGCTTAAATGTTCTGTTAATGTATTTAGCAATGTGTTTAGATGCTCTGTAATATATTTCGTAATATGTTGAGGTATTCTGGTAGCATATTTAGGAATGTGTTTAAGTGTTCTGATATCGTATTTAGCACTGGGTTCTGGCAATGTATTTAGTGTTGGGGTGTTATGTAATGTATTTAGTTAGTTAAGGCGTTCTGGTATATATATATTCAGCAATATGTTTAGGTGATCTGGCGGAGATGTAAAAGTGTGATGTGACAATATACATTTTGCTAAAATTAACCTTTTCCAATAGAAATAACTAGATTTACAAGAAAACTAACCGATTTTTTATAATCGTGTGATTATAGTTAGCAAGGATTGTCTGGCTGTCCATTACCACTGAATAGGAGTGCAGTTCTCGCTGGTTGTCCCATACAAAATTCGCCATTAAATAACATTATGTCGTCAAAAAATCAACCAACTAAATGTGACATGTACGCACCCAGCCCAACACACATATAAAAATAAAATATAATAAAATAAACACGTACACACAAAGACTAAAAAATGAATGCAATGGAGGGATTTTAATATTAGAAATCAAACTTTTATCTAACAAGTAAGTGTGCCACGACCTCAACAGTTTATTCATATGCTAGTAGAGACAAGTTGCAACCATCGTCCATTTTAACTTCGTCACGTGTTTCAACATTTGTGTTACTCCGTATGTCTTCCCTATTCAAAATGTCTACAAGAATGCTTTTATATGCATTTATAAGTGGATATTCAACAAGGTTTGTCAGTAGGCAT